AGTTAAAAAATCTTAAGATTTGTCAGATTCTGAGGATTGTAAATTTAGTTAATTAAAATTTTTTACTAAGACATCATTTAGCTTCTTCTTCTGATGATGATGAAGATAATTCTGAGACTTATGATTCAGAATGAAAAAACTATTATTTTACCTTATCGTCTACTTTTAAAATTTATTTAACAATTTTATATAAATATTTATTAACCATTCTTACTACCTCATGTACTGACTAAAGGGTCATGATTAAAATTATGTTAAATACAGGGCCGTAGCCACGGGGAGGCCCCGGGGGGGCTCCCCCCAAAGCAATTTTTGGCCCCCAAACCTGGCCCCCAGAAAAAATCGTTGGCCCCCAAAAATTTATCTGGCCCCCCCAAATTTAAAATTTTTTTTTAGAATTGATTATTTTTATATTTTTAATATAAATTTTGAATATTTATTCAAAAATATTCAAAAAACATGCCTATTTAGAATTGATTATTTTTATAATTTTAAAATAAATTTTGAATATTTATTCCACAAACATGTCTAGTTTGTAAAAGTTTTTCTATCCTGTTTTATTTTAATTTTTACCCAATATTAAATTATCATTCATTCATTTTTTTTTCATTTGTTTTTGTTGTGTATAACATTCTCTATAGGTATCACATTTATATTATAATATATAACCAGTTATTTTATTTTACAACGTTTATTTTAAAATTATGAAGAAACAATCAGTTATTAACTCTTATTTTAAGTTAAAGTTAAACAAATGTCAAGCAACATCACTTCTACAAACTACTAGTAATACTACATCAGAAATTTCAGAAACTGATTCTTCTCATAGTTAGTATAAATTTATATTATTATTTCATGACTTATATGATATTGATATAGGGCAATACCTATATATTATTATTTCATATATATTTATTTTATATAAGATAAGAGACAGACATTTATTATTAATATTATCATTTTTGTATAATAATTTTAATTATTAAAATAAATATATTCACTCATATTTCAAGATATGAATGAAGCTAATAATCTAGAAAATGATCCTCACTACACTCAGGAGGAGGAAGATGGTAAATAGTTTAAAATTTAACCCAAATTTTTCTATTTATATATTTTTGACAATATCAATAGGAGTAGGAGATTATGGTGTTTCATTATTACATTTTGATTTTAAAACAAATAAAGACGAAGAAGAGACTCAATCATCTTCATCTAGCAGCTCAGTCTCTCATTGTCAAGAGGAAACTAGTAATTGATTTATAAATATAAAAATATAAAATTTTTTTGTTAATCTTTAAAGATATAATGTTTATGACCTTTTTCTAGTTTTTAATACTGAATATCTATATTTTTACTGATCAACTTTACTGATAATCTTCATCAGGGTTGGGCACTACAGTATAGCAAATACTTGTATCTTAAATACAAGATAAATTTTGTGTTTGTTCATTTTCAGCATGCCCTTCCTTCGCCCATCCTGATGACCATTATTATTTATGACCCTTTCCCTCATTACAATTTATTAATTATAATATTTTTAGTGTCAAAAAAGTCCTTTAATGGTTCAATTCGAATCCCAGGTGACCTTGGCCAGAATAAACCAAATCAAATCAAATTAAACAATTACGCGAAAAAAGATATCCATGGAATGCAAAGATCATTTCAAAAATCATGGTATAGAGGCCGAGACTGGTTGGAGTATAGTGTAGAAGCTGACGCTGCCTTTTGTTTTCCATGTAGGAAATACTTGTGTAATCCAAGTGATGAATTTGGACAAATGGGGTTCAGAAATTGGAAAAATGCGTTAGCTGCCAAGAAGGGACTGCTAAAACACGAGAGCTCAAAAGCTCATTTAAATTCAATTACAATATGGCATGATAAAATCAAAATATAAACAAAGGTACAGAAATAACTAAAATGTTGGGAGGTGATCAATTTACTCGTAATCAATATTATATCAAATCAATATTTGATTTGATGCTATTTCTTAGCATACAAGAGCTACCTTTCCGTGGGACTGGTTCAACAAATATTACGGATGCTGCAAAAGATGAAAACATAATTTATTCTTCTGGGCTATTTATAGCAATGTTTTCTCTCCACCATCCAAAAAGACCCTGAATTAAATAAAATTATGAAATTTATACCCCAAAATGCCCAGTAAACATCACCACAGATTCAAAACGAAGTAATATCCATTATGACAGATATGGTGCTTGAACATATTTCAGACAAATATAATAAAAGCGAGATGCCTTTTTTTGTCTTAAGGCTGATGAGACAAAAGATACTTCAGGTTGTGAAAACCTGAGTAATAATTCGCTATATTTTTTCTAGAGAAATCCAAGAAAATTTAATAGGAATCATTAATTTAGAGTGTCTTTCTGCTGAAAGTATAACAGATTGCATTTTAAAGCAACTTAATGATCTAAATCTTAATTCAGCTAATATAATAAGCCAGGCATATGATGCAAACGTTATGTCTGGCCGAAATAGAGGAGTGCAAAAACTTCTTCAAAAAAAAATTAATAAAAATGTTCCTTTTATACATTGCTACAACCACAAGTTGCATCTTGTGGTTCAAAATTGGTATAATAATATTGTTATTATTTCTAATTTTTTTAATTTATCAAATGCAATATATAATTTTTTCAGGCGTTTTAACGTATCCTGTAAATATACAGGCCACACCCTTAAGAGACTTTTAGACCAGAGGTGGATTGGTCATTTAGATCGCATTATTTATGAGAATTTTGAGGCTATTGGTGAAGTATTATTTTACTTTTCTAATAGAACTCTTAATTCAGAGGTTTCAATTCATGATTCAGTCGAAGGCTCTGGTCTTTTATCTCAATGTATTAATATAAATTACATTATATTAGCCATCATAATTTATGAGATATTAATTACAATAGATCCACTAAATAAGTATCTACAATCAGTAGGTACTAATCTAGTGGATGCTAAAAATTGTATTGATTCTACTATCAATATATTAAAAAATAAAAGAAGTGATAATTCTTTTGCTTTGATTATGATTAAGGCTGAAAAACTTTTATCAAAATTTAATCTTACTCCCCAAAAATCATCACGGGTACGTAAAACGCCTAAAAATTTTCAAGATTTTTTAGTTGATAACAAACTAGAATTCGATTGTGAAAAAGACTCCAATTGGAGTTTTTTAAAAAGGATATATTATGAAATTATAGATAACTTTGTGGATCGTTTTTTAGACCGATTTACAGAAGATGATTTTAATCTTTTTTAATCTTTTAATACATTGTCCCCCCTTGACCCTGATTATTTTTTATCAGATAAAATGGCCCCATTAAAATCCCTGTTAAACTTAAATATGGAAACACTGCATCATAAAATGAAGCTAGCTTCGGAAGCTAAAGAAAATCATAATTTTGAAAATATCTTACATATTATGTATAAAAAAAATATAATCATGCATTTAAAGAATTATATAAATGCTACTCAGCAAGATAATCATTGGGATATCAACGGCTTCTTGTGAGGCCTCGTTCTCTACATTAAAGAGAGTTTTATCGAGCAGTAGAAGAGTCTATGAAGGATAAACGTAAACAAAATTTAGTATTAATGGCGTATGAAAAAAGAATAACGCAGAATTTATCTTTTAGTTCATTTATATTAAAATTTAAAAATAAAAATCGCCGTATTCTATTATAGTAATATTTTGTTTTGTATATGCATATTATAGTATTATTTGTTTTGTATATCCATATTATAGTATTATTTTGTTATTAAATTTTTAATAAAAATAGGAAAAAATTTCTTTGAATGCGTAATTATTTGTTTGATTTTAAAAAAATAGTGCCCCCCTCCCCAAGTAAGCACTTGGCCCCCCTAAGTGAAAATTCCTCGCTACGGCCCTGGTTAAATAAGACAAGACTTCGTTGTACCATGAAAGATTCATTTCTTAATAATTTATTCATTTTATCAATGGAAAAAAATTAACTTAAAGAATCAAATATTTATAAAATTATAAATCCTTCACTTTCTCTTCTCCTAATTTGTCTAACTAAATTATTAATTTTAAAATAATATTTTTAAAGTATATATTATTTACATTTTATTTATATTATATATTAAAGATTGATGCAATAAAAATTATTTTTGAAATTTATGGGAATAATTAAGCATTTTTATCAAGGGGGGGGGGGTGTACTTTTCAAGGAAGGGGGTATTCTGCTTCAATCGCTCAGAAAGTGTAGGGGCCAGCAGTACCCACCTAAATAAATTTGCCACCTTCGGCGATATTTCTACATTATTAATTATACTTTTTTAATTATAAAAATAGTCCCTTCATAAATTTTAAAAAAATAATTTAAATTATTAATTCTCTATTAACAACTATCAAAATATTTTGAATATTTTTTAGAACATGAATTCAATTTAAAAACTCAGATTTACAATGAATGCATTATTATAGTGTTTGGCATGAATATGAGTTTACTAATAGAATCTCTAACCCTTTTAAATTACTCTTAAAAGGATAGCAATATCATTATATTATAATAAGTTTATTATAAAAGCATTATTTTTACAGCAATCCACTTTACACTATTTCATCTAAAAAAATTTTAAATGACCGCCCAATAAATTCATCATGCCTCTAGTCTAAACCCCTTGAATGCTACACCCTAACCCTCCTCTCCTCAAAAAATATTGGACTGTTTCTACTCCAGACCCAATGACTAATGCACATCACAAAATTTAAAACTACAGCAATTTTTATATAGCTATTGAGCTTTAATATAAAAATAATATATTAGCACATTTAATGGATTCGTTGAATATTTTATTATTTTTATCTTTTTTTAAAAAAAAATATCATTGCTAAAATAGAAATATCATGATTGATTATTTGCAATGTCATGGTTTGACATTTTATTCTCACATGAATTTTAATGGAAAATAGTTTATGAAATTGCCTGACTTGACATGTGATAGGTAGCAATCTTGCGATTTTAGCGAAAATCTAGTGTATTTCCCTACTTATTAGGATCGGGTTACAAAAAATGAGCGCGGCTATTCAAAAAAAAAAATGAAATGGTTAGTAATATATAAATTATATTGTTACAAATATTCATATTTAGAAAAGGAGAAAAATACATACGGACGATTCAGAAAAAAATCGGAAACGACATAGTAAAATAATAGATATTAGACCCTTAAGCCAAAAAATCTGTAAAGGTTATATTTTTTAGAATATTATGATAATAAATATTTTTATTAACTAAATTAGTTGCAATGATAATTATTATCCAGAGTTCACGAATTTCATTATAAATTATCAAAGTATCATATTTTAAGTACTTAAAGTTGTAACCCATCTTCAATTCAATTATATCCTTTATTAATTACAACAAGATGAGTTACTATTTTAAGTTCTCAAAATATCTTACTTTATTAATTTATTTTATTATTTTACAAATTATTGAATATACATCATTAATATATTTAAAATGTTAAATGGAATATCAATGAAATTTGTGATTTTTGAATAATGTTTTTATTATTAGATGATGAAAGTAAAAACGAATCAAAAGAAGATAATCAAATTAAAAAACGTTATTCTAAATATAAGCAAACACTAAAATCAAATTTTGTTGAAAATGGGTTTTCAAAATTAGATTCCTATAAAACTGAAGTATTGGCTCTTGGCGAAGGTGATGTTGGCCAATTAGGATTAGGAGAAGATGTACTTAGTGCTACTTATCCAAAAACAATAAAAGATTTAATTTTTAAAGATGATAAAATTGTAAAAATATTTGCAGGTGGTATGCATTCCATCTGTTTAAGTAACAATAAAAAGGTTTTTAAAACTATTATATAAGATAATTTTTATTTTGTAAAAAGTTATATTCCTTTGGTTGTAATGATGATGGAGCATTAGGAAGATTTTGTGAGAATGATGAATTAGAAAAGGTTCCCAGAGAAATAGAATTTGAATACAATATTGACATTATTAATATAACAACTGGAGATTCACATTCATCAGCATTGACTAACAATGGAAAGGTTTATACTTGGGGTGTTTTTAGGGTACAATATTTATTACCATTTATTGTTATTTTTTTCATTATCTCTTAAGTTAGCTTGTTATTATTATTAAGATAATTTGTATATAAACTTATGAAACTTAATATTGATTTTACTTTCCATAAATCTTGTTGTTAACTTAATATCTAGTAATCTTACAATTTTTCTAAAAACTTAGATTCTTCAAATGTCAGGTAAGGCCTTTATTTTTCAACAATTGTTTGCTTTTATATATAATTTTAAAAGATTATAGCTTTCTCTTCTATTTAATTAAAATCAATATTTTCTTGTATCTTATTAATATGATTTATTATCTAACTATAATTTTTTTGAAAGATATCCTTTAAATATTGGGCTCCACTTTTTAAAATATTTTTCTTAATTTTTGCCACAACTATAAAGCTTAACTAAATATATTATTTAATTTAGGATGAAAATGGAATCCTAGGACTTATCTCTAATAAAGTTGAAAGAAAGCCAGTTCTTATAGACACAGAACCAGTTGAATCAATTGTTGAGATCAGCTCAGGAAATAATCATATGCTCTTGTTAACAAACCATGGAATCGTTTTGTCTTTAGGATCTAGTGAACAGGGTCAATTAGGCAGAATCCCAGCTAGATCTTGTACTAAAGAACAACGTCGTGGAATAGGTTCACAAATATTTAATAGCAGTTGTATATCCTAAGAAGGGGGGGGGGTTAAGTTGTAACATCATTAAGTTGGCACATGGTGCCCCACAAAATATTGTCTCAAGCTGTATGTAAAAATTTAGCCTTCCTTTTTTGTAAATGGGAACTCTGGGGTTATCTGCTTTGCCTCTTGTAATGACTAAAATAGACTAATTTAAATCAATCCACAAATTTTTTGTGTTATGAAGCTCTGCAAATTCGTTTTTTTTAGTCTAAGCTTAATCCAAATTGTTTATCAGATTTTTAAGCTTGGCTTGGCCCAAAATTTATATTTATTTTTAAGTTCAGCCTTTTTTAGGCCTGATGGACTTGCCCAAAATTTTTATTAAAAAAATAAAATAATTAAAGAGCATTTTAAGAAATAAAAAAGGATGTGCTTGATCTAATCCAGGCCCCAATCTTTCCAGTATAAATCTGTTTATTTTTCAAAAAATCGCCTGTGTCTTAAATAGTTCATCTTTTCAGAGACATGTGACTGGCCCTAAGTTTTTTTTAAAAAATATGCCCAGGCTGTGCCGTATAAGCTATAAAAATTGAATATAAATGTAATATAGTTTTTAAAAATTTGGGTTAGGTCTTAGAATAAAAAAACCCATGTCAGGTCGAAAATATTGTTTTTAAAAAATCTGGACTGGGCCATGCAAATCATACATCTGCGTGTCTCTGGTATATTAATGCCATATTTTAAAAAAATGAAAATTTAAAAAAGAATTTTTACCTTTTTTTATTTTAAATATGTGAAATTAATAATCAAAATAATTACAAAATGCAAAACAATGAATTTCCTAGATGAATAAAATATCGAATACTGTTATTAATTATATTTATTCCTCTGTTGAATACATAATGATTAGAGGTATACCAATACTAGACATCTTCCATATCCTGTTCATGGGCTGGATATGGGCCTAATAATATATTTGCTTGTGGGCCTGGGTTATTAAATCTTTTTTAATGGGCTGGTTTTGGACTTATTTTAAAAATTTAGTTTATTTAAAACAGTTGCAGAATATTGCAATTTTTTTCTTCTAATAATAATATATCTCAGAATTGTAAGCAAAATAGTTGCCTAAATACATTTAAATATGTTTATTTTCATTAAATACAATTAATTAAAATTTTGGATATTGATTTGGGCCAGGCATAAATTTTTTGAAACTTATGGGCTACGGAATTTTTTCTAATAATAAATATCGGCTGCTTAAACATTTTTTTTACTGTGGGCCTGGGTCAAGCTTGAACAAAAATTTATGCCTATGAAGGCCTTGACCAAATACAACTTTTTGGAGCACAATCCTATCTGATATTATCAATATTATATGGATATTGGCTGATTACCAATCCCATATTGTATCTAATTGTGTTTTTTATACATATTTAATTTTTTAAAATTTTGTAACGAAAATATTTTAACACTCTCCCCTCCCCCCCCCCCCCCCATTTTCATCCAAGAAAATTAATTTTTGGATCCACGCCAATATATACACCCTTTACTTGAAATATTTTCGCATTCCTTTTCACATTTGAATTTTAAACAACCAAGTTTTGAATTATCAATAATATTAAAACTTAAATATTTTGTGGGGCATTAAACCGTTTCTTTTTTCTATAGTACTTACTAAGTGAGTAGAAGTGTTTGACGATATGTTTTTCTATGAAAGGCGTTGTTATTCAAATTGATACGATTTAAATACGCAGAAAAAACGTTTACAGATATGGATAATAACTAAAATAAATTAATTGAAATAAACTTTAAAGTGAAATCCAAAATTCGGCATTTTATTTACGAAGCCAATAAATTTTTATATATACGTCAAATAAATCAAATAGAAATTTTTAGATATAATTAATTATTGTTCCTTTTTGGGAACACAATTATGAAATTGATTTTCTTTATTTTTAACTTATAAGTTAAAAATAGAAATATTGCAACTAGTTCTCGATTATTGTCCTATTTTAAAATATAAGAATTTAGTTCCAAAGTTTCTAATTTAAAGTAACCTAATAAAAATAGGTATAATAATGAGTGGATTTTTTTTTGGGAAAAAACAGAATTATTCTTGGAAGCATTACCAGTCAGCTTCCCATTGTTCAAAGGCAAGACACCTTTTATTAAGAAGGTATTTGGAACTAGCTACGGTTCTTTTGCAATCGAGAATTTGACTAACAAAATCTACTCTTGGGGACTTAATAACTACAAACAGATAGGTTAAAAAATTTTATGATAAATATTATTTTTCATACTTTCATACATAGATACACATATACATTATTTATTGGTGTCTAAAATTTTTTTATTGTACAGATCCTTTTTTTAGCAACTTAAATCAAGTTAAATTCTTAGTTTAACAATAATAACGATTTCTTTGTGTAATAAATTAACAAGTCATGACTATCAAAATTTTAAGGCTATATTTTTACAGATTTGAATTCAGAATTAATATTGTTGTGCAAAAGAATATTATTTTTTTATAATTAGGTTACAAGTCAAAACGTAATGATCTCATCGAGTATTTTCCTGTAGTGGTTAATTGGGATATAGCTCATGAAATTAAGCAAATTACGGGTGGACCTCATCACACTTTAATACTCGATTTTAAAGGTTGGTAAATTACTAAAATTTGTAATTTAGATATAATTATGGAATATTTATAATATTTTAAAGTAAGCATAATCTTTATTTAAAAAAATTCAAGGTTTTTATTACATATAGTGTTGTAAAAAAAAGTGTTGAACGGCGTTCCTTTTTTTTTGACGAACTTTGAACGTGAACGCGTTCCTTTTCTTTGATGAACGCGTTAAATTTTAAAAACACTTTTTATTTATATTTATTTGAAAAATTAATATTAATCCGCATTTTTTAACAAAAAAGTCTTATATTTTTATTTATTTAAAAAATTAATATTTAATCCAATTTTTTAACAAAAAAGTCTTATATTTTTTAATCAGCTGTTTTTCCTTCTCATATTGCAATTAACGTACCATAGTGCTACTGCTAGAGAAGATAAGATTAAAGTTTATTAATTTGAATATTTTATATTTTAATTTAATAGATTAGCATTTGCATGGATATAAATATTTCATCATCAGATTCTGATAATCAAAATTCAATATTAGATGAATTAGAATTACCATGCCCCAAATATCAAAAATATTTCACTGTTTTAAAATCAATTCCGAGATATCCTTTTTTTTTGACGAGGAAGAAGAGGGCAGATTGGAGGATGATAACATAGCTCAATTTTTTGAAACAATGGATAAATAAAACATTAAATGTTTTTAATAAATTCCCCCTTTTAAAAGAATTGTTTATCAAGTATAACACCACAATCCCTTCATCTGCCCTTGTTGAGCGAATTTTTAGTATAGCTAACGCTGTATTAACTGACAAGCGTTCATGCCTATCAGATGAAAATTTTGAAAAGCAATTATTATTAAAAATTAATAAGAAAATTTTTTTATAAATTTATTTTTTTATCGCTCTATTATATTGTATTTATAATTATAATATCAAAATAAAACTATTATTTTTTATCATGGCTAATATATTGTGTTGAAAAATATAAGGCATTTATTTAAATTAAATTTAAAAAAAATTTTATCATAAAATTTTGAACGTATGAACGCGTTCATGAACTTGAACGCGTTTCTTTTTTTGAATTTGAACGTGAACGCGTTCGATTTTTTTAAAAATGTTTACAGCACTACATAAAAGCTATCGCAATTATTATTTTTATCACTTAATCTTATATTAAATTTATATATTTTTATTAAAATTTTTCAAAGATATTAGAAATATTTTAAAATGTATAATATATTTTTTAAAAACGATAGATCTCGAAATCTAAATGATAAAAGGGAGAAAACTTGAAACGTTATGGGAATTATACTGAAATTAATAAATTTAATATTAATAATTTCATGATTCTAATCAGTAAAATTACATACTAAATACTCTTTTAAATTCCTTACTCATTTTCACGATAGAAAGAAAATATTATGAAAATATGCTACATATAAGAAAAAGATAGGATAAAATTTTAGTTAAAAAAATAAGAGAGCAAATCTTTTTTAATTTAATAATCCCAAAATCCTCTATGCTCTGAGATTTGCACTAATCTATGTAGTGATTTGCTAGTTTTTCATGAAATCCAAATCAAGGGTCTCCTTTGAAAATATATTGAACATAAAATTTCCTTATTCATCCTGGCTTCAGGCCATCTGCCCCAGCAAAGGTGGTATCGGTATTTGATCCCCACTACAACTTCCTCTTTCAGCCTTTTTTCATTCCACTTAGCCTCTCAAGTTATCATCAATAATGTACTTATATAGGTCCTGACCTTCTCAGGCCTTTACCCTTTGGGACAGCAACAGTTTGCCCATCCTCTGTTGTCCAGCATTCAAAAAGAGTGGGATGTTCCTTTGATCTCCCATTCTGTTGATTACATTTCGATCAGGCCCTTTGAGGAAAATCCTATTACATAATATTAAATGCAAACTCAGGCTATAAATGGTTGGAGCTATCACCAGTTCTAATCTCGGCCTTCTCATGATTGGCAAACAACTACGTATATCCATAGCTCTTATTGGCTGTAATGTAGTTGTACCCTCCATTTGAATCAATTGTGCCCATCGAATTGAATACCTACCATCCCTTGCACTCCAATTTCTCACTGATGGCAACCCTGCCATAAATCCATCAACTCTTACAGCTGCCTTCAAGAAGTTAATATCCCATTCACTCTGGAACCATTGGGTTTCAAATGAATGCTATACCCCCTGATGGTTATATCCCTTAATACCAGGACTAACAATCTCCTACTGACTGGGACTATACTTGTGTGGATTTTGCACAAAGTCTTATTTTCTGCCATCGAAAAGGTAGAAGTCCTTAAAAAACCAGAGTTGTTAAACGCTACTTTTAAAAGTTGCGCACTACCGCTATCGCTTGTTAAAAAAAGTAGCGCTACCGCAATCGCTATTTATCAAAAAAAGTAGCTTTAGCTATTTTTTATAAACAAAATTTTATTTTTTGTTTATAATGTTATTGTATAGTAAATATATAAACATCAACATTTATAAATATAAAATATAGTTAGTTTTGATTATAAAAAAATTTATGTAATAAAAATAAATATTTATGGTAATTTGTTGCATTTTAATAATAAAATCATTTCAATATTATCATCCCCAATCTAGAGCGACGATCAGAAAGTATAAGTTTTGCCTTATTAAATAATCTCTCGACACTAGCACTTGAGGGTAAGGGCGTATTTAATCTTATATACATATCTTTAATATAAGATAGATTATCAATAATTTTATTTGCAAGTACATCGTATGTCTGGCATCCTATTATCATTTTGAGGGCGTATTTAATCTTATATACATATCTTTAATATAAGATAGATTATTAATAATTTTATTTGCAAGTACATCGTATGTCTGGCATCCTATTATCATTTTGAGGGCTAATGCTGCAGATATTCTTTTTAAAGTTCTAGGGTCTAGTCAATGGCCTGTGATTCCCAAATAAGCTCAAAAATATTTAATTAGATCAAGTTATAAATATAAATAGGTTTTTACCTTCTATTATGTGTTCAACTATCTCCCGTGGTACATATATATGATTCTGATAACTCTACTATTAGAGCATCTTTCATCATTTTAAAGTTATCTGCTATTTTATTCATTAGTGTCTGGCGGCATAAAATTGTTGTACCAGGGGGATAGAGTTTTAATCATCATGGTAAATGATGGATTATCATCTAAGGACATTGGCTGAACTGTATAAATTATAAAATCAACAATAACTTTATCAGCCAATTTCTGAGAAATATTGTCATTTGCATTATTAATTAATTTGGTTTGAATTGAATTAGTCTTTTTGGATGTAGAATCGCCTATACCAAAATTATTTAGATGACTTATTAATCTATCAAATTTCTAATAAAATATCTTTCATATAATTTTTTTTATTATTTATTTTTATTCATAATATAAAAATATAGATAGATTATCAAATTCACTCCATAATTTATAATATATTAGAAAGAAAATTTAGTTAAATTACATATAAGCAAATGTAGGTGAATAGTTTTAATTGTCTCATATTTAAAATATATGTTCGTCCGGTAGCTTGAAGACCACATCTAAAATTTGTAATTTATGTATCCACAATTTGTCAATCAAGGAGGGATATTTATAAGAATTTGAGGGTCCAGGATGCAAAAATCTAACTAACACCTCTTTTTCGTTTTTTTTCTACAACAGAGGCCATCCACCGTTCTCAGATACATGTTATATATCCATTTTTCTTCCATAGATCAAATTCGCATTAATAGAGTGAAATGCTGCATTTAATATTTGCGATTCTGCTGAGCTTGAATAAAATTTAACATCAATATTATCCTGAGAAATTGGAAGAAATTTTTTGCGTTCCTTGTATTGTACGGCTTTATTAAATTTCTCTTCTAAAATTATTTGCTCTTTCTCATATTACCCTTCCTTAATATAGGAGAAATCTATTCCTTAATAAAAAAATTATAATATATATTTATAAATTAGAAATCTTATATCTTTAATATTTTCTTTAGAATAGACAAAAAACTCTTTAGGACAAGTTATTTTTTCTGAAACAGGTATAAACTAACCCTGGCCACTAAACGTTTGACTGTACCTCAGCAGACCCCTTCACAAGCCGATTTGCCATGAGATATGGTCCAGAAATGCCACTCAGATTTTATTTCGAAATCATCTTCATGGTGATAGTTTTTGAGATATAAGCATTTTAAAAATTTTGCAGATTAAAAGTGGCTCTTTTTTGCACCTATGAACCCCTATAATTATAAACGTATTTCTCATTTTTTTTTACCTATCTAAATAATTCCAGAAGTTTTAAACAATTTTAAAAGGGGTCGGCCGAAAATGTGCCTTTCTTGATCGATTTGACGGTCTTACAACTCTTGGTGAACCTAATGCAATTATTGCTATATGATTTATTATCGGTAGTGCTGTAAACATCTCTAAAAAAATCGAACGCGATTAACGTTCACGTTCAAAAAAAATTTAATTTAATTATTATAAATAGGGAGCACAAAAAAATTATATATATTTTTAAAATGGTGAAGAGCAGAGCTACATTTTTTCAAAAACACCTGGAGCTTAAAATTGGGAAGCGGGAGCTATCTCCTTTTAGGGCTGGAGTGGAGGATCGCCTCTCCACCGCTCCTTTAAATTTATCCATTATTAAATGTTTAGCCAAGTTTTATATTGGTTTTTCATCTAATCATTTTAAATATTAAACATTCCTTTTTATATTGAAAATTTTTTGGAAAATCTTGTAGTCATATTAATATTTGTTTTAAAGATATATAATAAAAAATAGTTTTAGATATTATGGATTTAGATATCATAGATGAAGAAATCTAATTTCCATTTCCATCATACAAAAAATATTTTAAACTTCTAAAAGATATTGATCCAAAAGATCAAACAAATACGGGCAAAATGTCTTTTGTGTTTAAATAAAACTATTTAATTTTCAAAAGTGAGCAGTTTCAATCTAAAAAAGCATTTAAAAGTAAAAAATCTTTTTTTTTAAATACAAATTAATTTGGATTATTTTTTTGGATTCCAAGAAATTGATCATCAGGAAGATAATATATTGGACAAATATTTTTTAAATAATGATACCAAAATTACTATTTTTGTTCCCTGAATTAAAAAATATCTATAAAATACAATACCCTGATTCCCTCTAGTGCTCCTCTGGAGTGCCTATTTAGTATTGCAAAACAGGTCTTAGGGGGGAGGCGTGGATGTTTGATAGATTATAATTTAAAATTTATTACTTTTAAAAGTAATAAAAGGTTATAAATATTTTGATAGATAATTTAATATAAATAAAGCTTTTTGATAAAAAAATATAAGATTTTATTTCGTATACCCTCTAAAAAATGAAAATCAAAGGAGCGGTTATGGAGTGGCACTCCATTACTTGGAGCGAGAGCTAGCTCCTTTTAAAAATGTAGTAGCGGGAGCGGGAGCTAGCTCTTTTTGAGAAGGTAGGAGCGGGAGCTAGCTACTTTTAAAAAGGAGCGTTAACAACTCTGGTGAAGAGCAAAAAAAACAAACTTAAATTATTTTAATCTAGCAAAATTTTTAAACATAATAAAAATAAAATTTCTTTTTTAAAAAAAAGTATTTTATAATAAAATGAACAAATAATATGATTGTAATTGCCCCCCCCCCCCATCAAAAAAGCGTTTTTTATTTTTATATATTATTAATAGGTTATGTTTACTCAATGGGACGAAAAGAATATGGCCGACTAGGATTAGGTGAACTAAATTCAGACATTGACACGCCTACTCCCATCCTATTATTTAAAGATAACCCATGTAGAGAAATATCTTGTGGGGAATGTGTGTCTTATGCCATCACCGAATCCGGTATAATATATCCTTTTATTTTTTTTATTTATATTTATCAACATTTAAACTAAAAAAGACTCTTGGCATTATACCTACCTCATCCTTATAAAACACAGATATGAGTTAGTGTTAGTTTATATTTAAAAGTGTCTCCACTTTTATTTTATATAAATTAGTAATATATTTTAATTATGGCTATTTTTTGTCAGCAACGCACAAAATCATAATTAATGATTTTTTTTAACTTATAAATAAGAAAATTATTATTTTTTTCTCAGAGTCCTACAGACCTGGAACCCAACCCTAGCTGGGCTTAAGAATTTAGAAAAAAATAGAAATATGGGCTAGGCTTAAAAATAAAAGTGCTGGGCCAATTCTTTAAGAATAAATTTAAATTTTATCGATGAATCATTTGGATAATATACAATAGTGATCTGCATTGGGTCTAATTTTTCAAGCCCAGCCCGGCCCGAAATTTTTTTATAAAGTTTTGCCCAACCTGGCCCGAATCCGAAATTTTTTTAAAAAATTTTACCGGCCCGGCCCGAATTTATTTAAATATAGAAATTAATTTTTATAATTACTCAAAATAAACGATATATGTTATATGGCGTCTACTTTCTATTAATAAAATCACATATTTTTATTATTTACATAAAAAAATTGATAAATTTAGATATTTTAAATAATTTCTAAGACCCGACCCTGCCCGAATTTTCTTAAAAAATATTAGGCCCGGTCCGAAGCCAGTTCGGGCCAGGTACGGGCCTGTCCTACTATTGCAGATCTTTAATATACAATATGGAGTGTTATTTTTAATTTTCTTTAAAACAATTTGCAAAATGCAGCCCAAATTATTCAAAATAATGTAATTTTAAAAATCCTTGCCAGACCAAAAAATGATCATAAATAACAATCCCCATCCAGACTTGAAGATGGATTTTTTTCTTTCAAATCCAGACCAAGCCTAAAATTTTGAAGGGGAAAAAAATCCTCAATAATAATTTTTAGAAAATAATCCTCAATAATAATTTTTAGAAAATAATTCCCGAAATTGATTTTCTTAAAATTTGCAAACATTTTATTTAAGGATTTTTATTTCGTGTGTAATTTTTAATATCTTAATAAACGGGGATTTTTTTTCCGGGGACTTATTTTCCTAAATTCTTATAATATTATTATTACACTTTTAATTTTAAACTCTTTCTTACCATATTTTTTAAACTTGTAGGAGAATCTTATTCTTGGGGTACATTTTCGACTTCTCAGCTGGGTAATGGAGACACTGACGAAGACTCTTTAATTCCAAAACGAATGAAAGGAAAACAATTAGAAAATAAGAATGTTATATCTCTCTCTGCCGGTGGTCAACATACACTTCTTTTGGCCTATTCTACATTATAAGACGCGATTGTATTTTATTTTTGCAATAAAGAGACAAGTATTTTTTAATAGAGTAGTTATTTTATAAAAAGAATTGTATTATTAAAAATAACAACTGAGTTCAGCACTTTCGTATCCATCCAATCAACTTGTTAAATGACCCCCTTTTTAAGATGTGTCTTCTATTATTTTAGAACAAAATCTATGAAACGTAACAATCATAATTTTCAAAAAAGGAATTTAAAAAATCCAATTTTTTAAGTATGTTGATTTTTTTTTAAAATATCCATTCTTGATCAAGAATTATACAGTAATTTTAAACTTTTTTTTACAAAAAACAAATTAGAGCTCAGGAAACACTGATGACAGAAACACCAGTTTTTTAATAATTAATCTTATATTTAAAAAATTCTATTTAAGGGAATTATCGCGATAACTTCCAAAACATCATCATTGAGACTTCCATATATGTCTGACAATATATATGGTGCCTAACCTTTTCGTTCAAAATGTAAATAGTTATTAATATATTGGTTCGACATCCTGATGTTAATGATGAAAATGCTCTTACAATGTTATCCTATCATTGATTTAAATGTAATATAAGATTTTACCTGACACTGAAACACCTTGAGCAATTTTTGCCATATAATTCGAATTGAATTGAACCATAATCTTCCAATAAGTCAAGAATATTTAGATTTACATCCTTATTAATCCTTTTAATATGTGAGAACATTTCTAACATTTCTTTCTCTTATTGAGTAGTGTTGTTAAAAAGCCCGATTTGAGTCTATTTTTAAAAACGGCCCGATTAAGATTTTAGTAAAATAAAATTGTGTAAGCCTTAAGATTTGGCAAGTAACCCAAACCTTTCTGCCATCTATGAGCAATCGCTAGGTTTATGCAATATTATTTTGGGTAAATAATGATAATAATTCTATCTACTAATATCATTCATATGAAGTTTAGAATTTTTTCGGTATCCTTAATTCCAATTTTCTACACTTTTCTCTTATTCGCCATGTCTTTTAGCTTTAAGCTCCAAAATCTTTCACAATTACAGCCCATTTTTTATTTGGGTTACCCTTCTAAGTTTAATTTTAACTTCTAGTCTTGCTATTTCTTTTCCAATATATTCCGTTTCTCTCCTTTCTACATTATCAAAACAACGTAATCTACCTTCCAACCTGTTTCGAAGTGATCATTAACGTTTTCTTAATAAAATCATTCTTCACATGCTCTTCATATTTACCTAGCATCCATCTTAGAATTTAATTCATTCGACTTCTCACAATAAAAAAAGCGAATTAATCACTGACGAATATTTTTGCACTAGTCCGCTCATTTACTACCTCTCAGGAAATTTAAGTTTTTACATAAATTATCACTCATTTTAATTTACTTATTTTCTCCAGGCTTTGTAATCAATTATTCCGCCCCCACCATTCATTTAATTTTTTATTCCCCCCCCCCCCATTCATTTAATTTTTTATTCCTCCTCCCTATCAGAAAGATATACGGAGACAAATGTATCTGCAGGTCCTATCCTATACCTTGTTTTCTCCTTCCCCACTCCACCTCTACAGACATTGAGAATATATAATAGTAATATCGAATTTGCATAATTGTTTTTAATTGGTAATTTTGCGGTTGCAAGAAATCCCCATGGAGGAGGGGATAATTTTTTTAAGAACCATTCTAGGAATTATCTAATTTGATATATAAATTTAAATTCTGTTTAAAAAATATAAATGTTGAAATATAGATGCACAGAAATATTCTTAAGAATTATTGCTTGTATATAAACTTACATAGTATTAATAAAAAAATATATTAAAGAATGAGAAAAATATAATTATGAAGCATATTATAAATGTATAATAAATTCAATCTTCTTTGGGATTGATTAATTTTTCAATGATTAACTCCCTACTTATATTAAGAAGGGTAACCCATTCAATCTATTTTCAGAGGTTGTACTTCTCAGTTGTGTTAATAAAGTTTGATTTGAACCGATTTTTTAAAACGATTTTATCCAGAAAAATATTATACAAGCCAGAAGATTTTACGCTTAGATGGAAAAAGGTTTGGACAGCTATTACCAAAATCTCAAGGATTAGACAATATTTTTATAGTCAAAATATTGAATTAGCCGATTTTAAAATCAGTTAGCCATTTTAAAAAATTACTTCTCAATTATGTTTATATTCTTGTTAGGAAACGTTCTTTCAATGGTAGAAATACTAATGGTTAGGGTTGAAAAATATATATTTTAATATATCAGGAAAAATGTGTTTGAAATCATGCAAAATATTTAGCATCTTTTGGAACATTATCACCCATATTTTACCTTTTATACCATAGTTTACATTCTGCTAAATGTAGTGTTGTTAAACGACTCGTTTTGAGCCGATTTTCAAAAACCGCTAACTCGATATTTTAGCCAGAAAAATATTGCCTAAGCCATGAGATTTGGCCAGTTGATGTTAAAATCTTTGTTCCTTCTACAAGCAAGATCTTCAGGCTTGTGTAATATTATTCTGGATGAAATATTGAGTTAGCCGTTTTTAAAAATCGGCTCAAAACGAGCCGTTTAACAACACTAGCTAAATGCATCACAATATACTCTAACATCCTCGCAATAAAAACCTAAATATTTAATTTTTTCTCAATCAAGATTTGTAATTTTTGGAAGGATTCTGTGGTAGTAATTTGCAAGTACTGTCTGATTAATTAAGAACCTTTCATTCATTTGAGTTATAAAAGCATCCAGGAGGAGGAAAGAGATTCTTTCTATAGTATTCTTAATGATATTTGGAATGATGGTATCTTGCTGCGAGTCTAGATAGACAAATATTAAATTCATAGTGTTCTGCTTTTAACTCAACAATGACATAAATTTATGAAATTTGTCATCTAAAATTTGCCCTAATTTCCTTATTTAGAAACTTTCATTTTCCGGTGAAAAAGTTTCAAATTATTCAATAAGAAATTTCAAAATGATAGATAAATATAACTACAAGGAAATTCACATTAATTCATAGAATAAATTAGGAGCTTCTACTTTATATTTTAATGGTCCTTATAATATTATTATATTATCTGTTTATATATTGTTTTGCCGCTATAAATCAAATATTTAAAGTACGATAATTGTAAGTTAATTTATTTTCTTTGAAATTATATTCAAATATTTTTTATATACAATTAAATATACAATTAACTTTTACCAAATGATATATACTGATAAATTGTAAAGATTATTATTTTACCAAATAAATATCTTTAATTCTTGTCGAACCTTATTGATAAAATCCCTACAGAGTGTATTTATTTTTGCTGTTAATGTTATAAATAAATGCATATTGGAATATATATATGCGAAAGAGGTAGAAATGATTAATTAATTCTAATAAGAAAATAAAACAAGAACAGTAATATATTTGAAAAATATTTTAGCCCATCTGAATTTTTAAGCTGCCCCGCTATGTAAGCGCCTGAGCAATTCGGGCAAGTGGCTAATAAAAAAATTTTAATAAAATAAAAGGGCTTATAAAAATAAATAAAATATTCTAGCAATAGAAATAATAATTCTTTTATAAATTGATTAAACTAGACCGTGACGAAGCATCGATAAAGCAAGGGCAGCACTGCTTCCCTTAATTTTTTTTTTAAAAATTTATAAAATTAATATAATCTTTAAACTATGTTAAAAAAATTTAATACTAATATGACAAATAAAAAAATGATTAATATTTTGCAACGTTAAAATATTACTACGTTAAAAAAAACTTATTACTATTATTTTTATGCTTTTAATATTAAAAAAAATTAATATTTATTTTTACTATGTTAAATAAAAAGTTATTATTTTTACTACGTTAAAAAAAATATATTTGAGGGAAGCAAATTTAATTTCTTATTTTTAAAATTAATAAAGGAAAATACCATATTCATATCTCATATAATATATTTTTGGTGTCATTTTTTTTATTAAATAATTATAAAATTGGGGAATAGATTTAAGTAAACTGCAAATGTTTAGGGAATAATATTTTTTATAAACTATTAATTGCAGGCGCGTACGCAGAAATTTAGTCTGGGGGGGGGGAATTTTTAAGAAATATCATTGAGCATAAATTTATTAGGACTAATAACTTTTCTAATTTTAAATTAATATGAATTATAAATTATATATATAAACCTGCATATAAAACACTATAAAATAAATTGAAAAAATATAAAACGGATATAAATGGCGGCATTGAAAAACTATAAAATAAATGTGAATTATAAAATTTAAAGTGAATATAACCACAATATAAATCACTTAAATGACCCCAAATAGAAATTTGTTTTGAGCCTTTAAAATTTATATATAAAGTATAAAAAATTTAAATGTTGGAAATATAAATTAATACACAAAATGTTTCTTAGGAATAATTATATTTTGTATGTTTTGAGCTAATTTTACAATTATCTAATCCTTGCTTGGCGTTAAATGCCTATGAATATTCAAAAGAGATAAACCATTCAATCTACCTTCAGAAGTTTTACTTTTCACAGGTATGTTTTTCAGAGACTTGCAGGCCCGGCCCCCGGGCCGGACCGTATTTTAATTTTTTATAAATATACCCGGGACGGGCCCGAATTTTTTTTCCAAAAAACACCCGGGCTGGATCTGAATTTTTTTTTTAAAAAAATATCCGGGCCGGGCTATATATTTTAAAACCAAACATTTGAAATCGCCATTATTAGCTATAAAAATCAAAAATAAATATAAAATATTTTAAAAATCTTCTTACCGGGGCATGAGAATCTTATAATCGACGCATTATCTAGGTTACCGTTACAAAACAGTCATTGGCAATTCGTAATATCGATTTATATGCAGATTTCAGAGAAAAACCTGCGAAGGAATTCGGTACAACCGATACTAAAACGAGTGGCACGGCATATTGAACAAGGTTGGAGAGGTTTTGATAGAAGGAAAAACAAGATCTAGTAATTTTCCATACCCAGTAGACAGAGGAATAGTCGAACAGAATGGTAGATTGATAATTCCAACTAAACTTAGGAATGCGTTGTTGGAAACACTACTTCGGAAGCATACTGGAAAAACGCTATGAAATATATTTTTCGGTTGTATTGTTGGTTGACTTGTCACAATCAGAAGTTTTTGGATTGTGAAC